ATTTTCTGCACAAAAACTCAGTGATTGCTTAAAAGATTAATGAATAAAAGGGCAGATGATGCTCCATTATTTAATATAAAAAACTTGGCAGGAGCCTTCAGTAACTAGGACTTCAGTATTTCTTTTTTTTTTTTTTTTGGTCTTTTTGAGACAGGGTCTTCCTGTAGCCCCAGCTGTCCTGGAACTCACTATGTAGACCAGGCTGGCCTTTAACTCACAGAAATCCACCTGCCTCTGCCTCCCGAGTGCTGGGATTAAAGGCGTACACCACCATGCCTGGCCAGGACTTCAGTATTTCAAACACACTGAATTCCTGTTGTTGATGGCTTTAGATCCTTTTAGTCAAGGATCTGGACATTCATATTCTAAGCTGATAGGTCAATTTTTAAAGAAGGGATTTAATTAATTTGACTGATTTTCCTACTTTTATTATGACTTTTCAGATTGTTGGCTCTCCCTTGTTTTAAATTATGGTTTGGGGGTCATAGTTCAGTTATTCATTCAACAACCATTTATTCAATTCTCAGTGCCTACTTGGAATTATTCCTTGCTTCCAGTTTTCTTCCCAAGGGCAATTTTAGGCTCTTGGGACACATCTGAACAAATTAAGACCCAGTCTTTATGGTGCTGACACTCTAGCAGGACTAGCAGGCTAAAAATTATGAAGGTTAGACAATGAGTAAAGTAAGTTTATAAAATGTTGATAGATTTTAATGTCCACCTTTAAAAACAAAAAAAAATTTGTGTGTATGAGTGTATTGCCTGCATATATATGTAAGTGCACCTGTGTTATGCAATGCCTATTGAGGTCAGTTCCGATCCCCTGGAACAGGAGTTACAGATGGTTGTTAGCCACCATGTGGGTGGCTGGGAATCAAACCTGGTCCTCTGCAAGAGCAGTCAGTGCTCTTAACCTCTGAGCATTCTCTCCATCCTTGTCCACCTTGTTTTCTGAGATAAGGTCTGTCATTTGGCCTGAAGCTCACTGATTAGGTCAGTCTGGCTAGCCACTGAGCCCAAGGATCCACCTATTTCTGCTTCCCTAAAGCAGGGATTACAAGTGTGAGATATTACATCTGGCTTTTTTTTTTTTGAGGGGGTTCTTTTTGAGACAGGGTCTCCCTGTAGCCCCAGTAGGCCTGGAACTCACTATGTAGACCAGGCTGGCCTTGAACTCTTAGAGATCCACCTGCCTCTGCCTCCTGAGAGCTGGGATTAAAGGTGTGCACCACCACACCAGCCTTCTTTTGAGAGTTTGCTATGTAGACCAGGCTGGGGCTGGAACTCACAAAGATCTGGCCACCACTGTCTCCCCAGTGCTGACATTAAAGGTGTTAAGACACTATGCCTGGCTTACATCTGTTTTTTTTCATATGAGTCCTGGGGGTGCAACTCAGGTACTCATGCTTGCATGGCAAGAACTTTACTGAGACCTCACTCCCACCCCAGTATTGGGAATTAAACCCAAGGCCTCACATGTTAGTCAAACACTACCATTGAGCTTACAGAAGATATTTAAACTTGGGACTTGTATTTCATTTAAAATTTTCTACAACTTGTGTGTGTGTGTGCTGGGGATCAAAGCCCAGCATATGTTTGGGTCTTGTATGTTTGTTTTGGTCTTCCACTGAGCCATATCTCCAGTCCCTCTGTAACTTTTAAAACGTTTTTCATATTTATCTATGTGCACTTGTGCTGATGCCACAGAGCACATGGGAAGTCAGAGGGCAGCACACAGGAGTTGATTCTCTTTCCACCATGTGTGTTCTAGGGCTTGAACTCAGGTCCTGAGGCTTCATGTCAAGCCTTTACCTTCTGAGTCATCTCACCAGTCCTGCCTCTACAAATTTCTAAATTTAGAAGAAAAAGGAACCATTTATACTACTAAAAATGACACCTCATAGAGCATCCAAAAATTCTCTTGTCCATAAAAGCAATGAGAAACATTGTGAAAATAATTTCTGGATGTTATCGCTTTCTCTTTTGTGTTTTCCACCTTGAGACAGGCCTCTCACTGAGCCAGTGCTCACTGATTAGCTACAATGGCTGGCAACATGCCCTGTCCCTCCCACTCTCCTCCTTAGTGCTAGGGTTACAGGTGAGTATGACCATGCCAGGCTTTTATGTAGGTGCTGGGGATCCAAACACAGGTTTTCACACTTGCATGACAGACACTTTACTGACTGAGACATCTTCCTAGCTGTTCTTTCTTTTTGAGACAGTGTCTCATTGTAGCCTGGGCTGGCTTCTAAGTTCCTATGCAGCAGAGGCTGGCCTTGAACTCCTGATTACAGCTGTGTACCACCATGCTTTTTAAAATCTGCTGATAAATGACCACAGTACATCTCTTATTCAATTTACATACCATCAACCAATATGATCATTACTTCCTTTTCTTCTAGGGAATAAAACATGGCATAAAAAAAAAAAAAACAGACAAGAGCTGGGCATGGTGGCACATGCCTTTAATCCTAGCACTTGGGAGACAGAGGCAGGTGGATCTCTGTGATTTCAAGGCCAGCCTCGTCTACATATCGAGTTCCAGGCCAGCTGGGGCTACAGGGAGACCCTGTCTAAAAAAGAACAAAAAATAAAAATAAAATAGACAAGGGCTGGAGAGATGGCTTAGTGGTTAAGGGCACTGGTTGTTCTTATAGAGGACCTGGGTTTGGTTCCCAGTACCCACATGGTGGCTAACACCTGTCCATAACTAGTTCCAGGGGATCCAATGCCCTCTTCTGGTCTCCACAGGCACTATGTGCACGTGGTGCACTTATATGCATGCAGGCAAAACACTCATATACATAAAATATAAATAAGAACTTAAATAAAAGACAGGACTTGGGGATGTGGCTCAGTAGAAGAGTGTGTAGCACACACAAGACTTTGGGTACATGAACATATGTACATTCAAGGGAGAGCAAACAAATTGGCCAAGAAAATTGAAAAGCAGTAAAGAAATGAAAAACCATAGTGCTAGAAGTGAAATTAAAATTGAACACATGGAGGCTGGAGAGACGGCTCAGCGGTTAAGAGCAATCACTGCTCTTGCAGAGGACACAGGTTTGATTCCCGGCACCCCATAGTGGCTACAAATCGTTCTTAACTCCAGTTCTAGGGGACTCTGAAGCCCTCTTCTGACCTCCGAGGCACTGCATGACACAGGTGCACTCACATACATGAAGGCAATACACTCGTACACTTAAAAAAAAATTGAACACATAGATTTATAGAAATTACTGTTCATGGGAATGTCGACCCTGTTGTCATGAAAGACCACAGATCTGTAGTCACAGCAATCTAATGAGGGTTATCTTACCTACACTAATGGTGAAAGTAGTTGTAATAAAAGGATGTTCCAGAGAAAGCAACAAGAACCTTCATGTTAAAGGGTTTCTTAGGCTAGGTGTGGAGGCATGTGCCTGTGATCTTAGCATTTGGGAGGCAAAGGCAGGAGGACTGGTACCAGTTTGTGGTCAGCCTGATTTACATACTGAGTTTCAGGCTAGGCCAGTCAAGGCTACACAGCAAGACCCTGTCTCTAAAATAAAACAAAAGTGGGGTTTTTTCCTTGTTAGCTTGAACATACACACACACAAAAATGTTTCAGTGGGTCCAAGCTTAGAAGTAATTATAACTCAACACGAAGATGCTTGCTCCAGACCATTTTATATAAGAGGCAAACACTGTTCATACTATTCCTTTTAAGCTTTTGTGGGACAAGTGGGTGCCAGAGAGCAAAAATAATCACTTCTTTAGCTACCATGCAATGGCTTTTTGACACATGGTGCCTGATACTGGTGCTCCAGGCTTCACTATTAAATAGATGAATAAGTAAATGAAAACCAGGCAATCAAATATAGAGTGGAAATGAGGTACTGAGGACATGTATCCAGGCATAGAAACAAACTACATCCCACAGCACATGCAGGGCAGGCCCTTCCCTGACAGAAAAGGGGAAGGCATGCCTTCCACCACCTGGTGGGACATGCCAAGGGCAGACTTGGGTGGGCATGTGGCTGCTGGGGTTTCTGTTGCTTTAGCTCCCTAGAAAGGAGGGTGTTTATGTGTGCCTCCTGTGGACCACCCAAAGTGCATGAACAGGGGAAGAGCAGGACAGGATTGCCCCAGGAAGCTGAGCAAGAGTTGAGACTCAGAGTTTTGGGGAGACAGGTTTGGGCACACTCAGTGTATAGAAAGGGGAGTTGTAGAGACGTGAGCCCTAGAGGACAGGGTAGGAAAGAGTTGAGGGTGGGATATGCTTTGACAGGCAACCAAGCTATCTCACATTGTACTAGGACACTGAGACAACTGTCCAATGGATTGTACTTGAGGGTGGAACTGCTTTCAGGGTGTGTGCTGTGGGATGGGTCTCTGCACCTTAGTTATGTGGCACATGAGGACAGGTGGGGACTGGTAGTGATGCTGCTGCTCCCATGTGTCAAAATCTTCACTGGGGGGGTGGTGGCTGGAGAGATGGCTCAGCGGTTAAGAACACTAGCTATTCCTGCAGAAGACCTGGGTTCAAATCCCAGCACCCAGCTAACGACTGTCCGTAACTCCAGTCCCAGGGGATTCGACTGCCTCTTCTGACCTCCAAGGGCATTGCAAGACACAGGTGCACTTACCTGCATGCAGGCAATACACGCATACACATTAAAAAAAAAAAATCTTCACTGGGCTGGCTTATCAGCTAGCCCAACTTTACCCTCTGTGATGTAACATTCTTGTATTCACTTGGCTGTGGAAATGGGTCTCCAACCTCTGAATGTCCACCTCATTCCACAAGATGTATGCAGCCTTTTGTCCTCCTTCTGAGCCCTTATTTCTAGGCTCCACCCCAAATGTGTTGGTGGGAAGCCCCACCACTCCCAGCAGCACATGTTCCCTTGCTACCAACAGGGCAGCAGGTACAGAGGTCCCAGGACACAGTAATTCTCTAGGCGCTCCATGAGCTCAGCAGGGAGCCCAATAAATACAGATCTCAGGATCCCCAAAAGCACATTCTAAAGGAATGAATCCATTTGTTTATTCAATGCTCCCATGTTCAGGACCTTTTGAAGGAGTGTCACAGAGGCTCTCAGGGGAGGTAGGGATGGGATAGGGGTGTGCATAGCCCTAGGAGCAAGTTTAAGGTCTAGGATTTATTTTAGAGAGCTATTGAAATTTCAGAGGACAGAACTGTTCTTAACCTGTGCAAAATCTTGGGGATGAAAGGACAGGGAGTCCAGCTGGAGGTGATATAGAAGAAATGAATATGGGCTGATGGTAAAGACTGGAGGTTGAGTGGATGGAGGTTCTGAGCCAGGGAAGGTGGTGACACTGTCAGCTTAGGCTGAGTCAGAGGAAGGACCAAGCTCACCCCTCTGGTATGGAAGAAAAGAAAAAGACCAGTATGCAAGGGAGGGGTACTCAACTGTGGCTTCATTTTGGGGATAGGGGACCAAGGAAGATGCCCATCACTGTCTATTCTTGGCTTGCTGCTTGAGGCGGGATATATACCATCCTATCAAGATTTAACATTTTGAGCCTGGCTAAGCCAGAAAAGGAGAAAAGGGGGGACTCAAGAATGGACTCAATATCCATTGGGTGGGGAGCTGGGTGGCCCCCTTCAAGTAGCTCAGGCCTGGCAGCTTGTGCTGGGCTTGTGGAAGATTTCCTCTCACAGAGGCTAAATACCTTGGGAAGCAAGTCCCAGCACTAGTAGGGCTTGTGGGTCTGTGGGGCTGGACCACCAGTGTCAACTCATGGCTCCCACTGCAACCATACATAAGAGCATGCCCCTGGGCTGAGGTTTTCTGAACTCATCACCTCCCTTCAGATCCAAACCAGGCAGGAAGGTGTGTGGCCTGGGTGAGAGCACAGTCTCACTCCTCCCAGGGGCTCATGTCTGTGTCGATGGCCACACAGTTGTAGGCAGCATAGCGGAGCTTCTCCTCGCACACCTTGGCACTAAGTGGGGGAAGGAAGGTGGCTAGTCAGGCACCTCCACTAGTCCCAGAGCCGGAAATCCTTCCACACTGGGGATGCCACCCCCAGACTTGAGCTTAGGAGAACTCACCTGGCATAGTGCGGTAGGAAGAGAGTGCTGGAACAGGTGGAAGACTCGGGCAGTGCATCTGTGGTCTCATAGCTGGGGTTTTGAGGGGCCAAAAATTAGGAAGAGTTGAAGAGGATGTGTGTATGTAGGAAGGTGCCATAAGCCCTTTTTTTGTACTTATACGCACCCCAGTTTGTCTGGGTAGATGTAGATTCGTGCTGGGAGGCGGCTGCGGCCAGTGACAAAGCGCAGGAAACGGCTCCGGTCCTCTGGGTGAAGGAGAAGGAAATTGGTTCCTGCACTGATGGTGAAGAAGGTTCTAAAACGTCTACCCTGCTCTTTATCCCACAAGGAAATCCCAAATACATCACTCTGTCCTCTACTGACCATTGGTAAAATTGCTCAAGGCCTCCCAAAAGTACTGCACTCTTGTGTCAGATGGCTCGAAGTCCTCAAACCGAGCTGGAGAGGACAAGGCAAGAATTCACTCTTAGGTCTCACCCTGTCCAGTCCTTAAGCCTACCTCTTAAGCTTTACTGCTCCACCACCTAGAACTCACTGAGCTTGCGCAGAGCATCCACAGTGACTTCTGGGTCCCCACACACCTTCTTCTCTAACTCTTGCCAGGTCAGCAAGTCCAGCACGGCCTGTGGCACCACCTTCAGCAGACCCGCCTGCATGGCTGCCACCTAGGGCAAAGGAAAAGGCCTGGCTCAGAGAGGGTACCACTGTTAGTTTATACTGGTGGCTTCTCTGTACACACTGATCAGTAGGAATGAAGGGGACAGTTATGGTGGGGACCAGAGTTCTTAGAACTGGTACTGGCAACCTATCAGTAGGTTCTGCCCATCTGGGGCTTGGAGCAGCCCAAAGCTCCCTGTCCTACTGGCCTTTGGCTACTACCTGCTCCTTGCTCTCCTCTAGTCGTGCCTTCTGCACCAACTGGATGAAACGACAACGGTCCTCATATCCGACCATGATGCCTGTGCCCCCAGGAATCAGCTCCACCACCTGCTGGTCACTCAGTACAGTGCTGAATGTTAGCTCCTTCCCAAACTTGAACTCAAATGTCTCCTTGTCCATTCCTTCCATCACTTCCAGGAGTTTCACCTGAGGGTTGGAAAGAGGTAGGGATGTTAGCTTTTTACTGGGAGGCAGTGTCTGTCCTCTTCCACAGGCAGGCTGGAAAAGGGCTGTGAAAACATTAAGACACCTAATCAGCCTCAGAGGTTTCTGAACCCTGAAGGAAATGGAATCTGGCCTGAGAACCAAACAATGGCTGAGAATTGGGTGGGCCACAGGGAAGTCACAAAGCTGAATAAAGCAAAGGCCTGAGGCATGTTTTGCTGGAGCCTGAATGTGAACCAAGTGGTTAGAGATACAGGAGTCTGCCCTGCCCTGTGTTAAGTCTACAGCAAAGCCATCAGAGGGGTCAATGAGGAGAGTGAGATGAATGACTGGCAGCATGGAGAGATATCAAGCAAGAAGGGGGGGAGGGGGCGCTGGAGAGGGGACTCAGCAGTTAAGAGCATTGACTGCTTTTGCAGAGGACTTGGGTTCAATTCCCAGCACCTACATGGCAGCTATGAACTGTCCTTAGCTCCAGTTCCAGGGGAATCCAAAGCCCTCTTCTGACCTCCAAGGCATTGCATGACACGGGTGCACTCACATACATGCAGGCAATACACTCATACACATAAAATAAAAATAAATAAAATATTAAAAAAGAAAGAAAAGAGGGATACTAGCTTTTTCAATACAGGTTGGGACAGAGAGAAAGGTGGCCAAGCCATGCGGACAGTAGTGAGATGGGAGAGCACACCATTCCAGGGGGAGATGGACAAGATGTTGGGGTTGAGGAAGAGTGAAGGATGACCCTGAGCCAGGCTTGGTGGCACATGCCTATAATCCCAGCACTGGTGAGGTAGAAGCAGGAGGATCATCACGAGTTCAAGGTCGTCCTCAGCTACACATTGAGTTCCAAGATAGTCTAGACTACATGAGATTCTGTTGCAAAACACAAAAAATGGCAAAAGCACTTGCTGTCAAGCCCAATAACCCAAGTTTGATCCCTAGAGCCTACACATGGAAGGAAAAAACTAACTTCTGCAAGTTGTCCTCTGACTTCCACATGTACACCATGGCACATGTGCCCACACACCTATACACACACAAATAAATAAATATGCATTTAAAAAGGAAAATACCCAGAACCAACACAAAAAGACCCTGAGGACTCTGGCATGGGGGAAAGGTGGGTGGTGGTACTATTCTGAGCCTAGAGCCCAAGAGGGCAGCATGGTGGCACATGCCTTTAGTCCCAGCTCTAGGGAGGCAGAGGCAGGCAGATCTCTGTGAGTTAAAGGTCAGCCTGTCTACATAGTGAGTTCTAGACCAGCTGGGGCTACAGGGAGACCCTGTCTCAAAAAGATCAAAAAAAAAAAAAAAAAAAGGAAAAAAAGAATTGCAAGGATGTGAGAACTGGAGAGGGAACCTGTGTTTAGTAAAAGAAGGAGTTTGGGGCTGGAGAGATGGCTGTTCTTTCACAGGACTCGGGTTCAATTCCTAGCACCCACATGGTGGCAAACAATGGTTTGTAACTGCAGTTCCAGAAGTTCTGACAACCCCACCAGCATTGCACTACATGCAGGCAATACACTCATACATATAAAAATAAAATAATAAGTAATAAAATATTTTGTTGGCAGAGGAAACACTGGATCCAGGCCGTACTCACCAGCACAGAGTCTACAGCTGGGAAGTCTTTGCTCCAGCTCACCTCCTCACCAGAGAGCTGTTTCCACACGAACCCAGGCAGAGCCAAGACCTGTATGACAAACATGCTGTCTTCTCACCATGAGCTTCCCAGGTTTGCCAGCCCTTCTGTTCAGGGGCCCAGGCTCAACCAACAGGGATGACGGTTGGGCTACTCACCAGGAACTCCTTACCCCGAAGGGCAGCCCCCATCAGCTGTCCGATCCACTCATACTTGGCAAAGTCTTGGCAAGAGGGATTGGGTACATACATGTCCCGGGCCTCACCAGTGCCATTGCCCTGCCCCAGAGACAGAGCTGTCAGCACAGCACGGAATAGACCTTACTTTCCTACCCTCAAAACTTCACCAAAAAAAAATCTTCTACTGCTCCCTACCCCATGATCCTCTTCTCCTTGTCTGTGCAGAGGCTGCCCCAGGTAATGCAATCCCATCACTGCTCCCTCTCTAGCTCAATCTGGTACTTGAGACATTTGCAAAGATAGTAGAAATTTGGTGGTGGGTGGGGAGATGATTACCTGGTTGGCTGTGCGCACAAAGAAGGGCAGAGGCACAGGGGTGTCAGCTGAACTAGGGCACAGTTCTTCTGACATATCTGCCAGGCTATCCCGGAAACCACCCCCTGAAATGACAAATGCCCTGAGCTGGGCACATAAAAGTCCAACCCCCATAAAGAAGTAATAAGCAGGTTCCCTATCTTTATTAGCTCATAATCCCAGAAGCCTCTAGTTCTAACAGGGCAATAATTGGGACCCATGTCATGCTCCCTCAAGGCCTCACCTTGGTCAATGATGCCTTCTGCAATGAATTTACATTCCCACCACTGGTCATAGCGCATGGGCCACCTGTAAATAGGGTGAATCTGAGCACCAGGGCTCAGGTACATTCACTAGTCAAGAGACCAGTCAGGAAAAGGGCTACAGAATGGCAACAATGAGGGATGCCAGGACCAGTGTGTGGATATACATGTGCCCTGAGCAAGTCCCTTACCCTCATGCCATACCTGTAGTCCAAGGGCTTTTCATACTTGTCAGAAGGCTTGAGGCCTTCGTAAACCTGGGGACATGGAAACGGGAGTGGGAATTGTAGGAAAGTCCATATTAACACCTGTCCCTATTCTTGCCCAAAGACTTTGCTCAAGTCCTCCTTGGAGGACCCCTCTCAGGCCCTTTACTGACTCTCCCTCAGTCTAACCCAGGTGGTCCAGACCTGGGTGAAAACTGCATTCTTGCAGGCAGGGTCCCGGGAAGGGCAGGCACGGTGTTCCATGGCAAGGCGACGGTTGATGTACAGGCGTGGCATGAAGCTGGGCTTGCTGCTCTCCGAGTCACGCAGGCACTGTGCCACCAGGCTGGGCCGCTGGCGTGACAGCAGCAGGAACTGTTTCACTTGCTGGTAAGGAGAGGTGTTAAGAGCAGAACCAGTGGGAAGTCAGCTTCTGTCTAGGCTCTGGGACCTTCCTCTATGCCTGGACCCAATTCTACCATTCTAGTCCAAGCCCAGTCCATTCTGTTCTTGCTTCTAGTTCCTTCCTTAACCTAACCACTAGGGGGAGCTTTTTAAAACAATGACTGGAGAAGGCTCAGATGTTAAGGACACTGGATGCTCCTTTTGTTCCATGTCCTGGTAAGTGGCTAACAATCACCTGTAACTCCATTCCAGGGGATCTGATACCCTTTTCTGGCCTCTGTGGGCAATGCACACATGGGTGCACTTACATACATACAGGCAAAGCACTCATACACATCAAGTAAAAATAATAAACTAAAATAGTTTTTTAAAAGAATGCTAAGCCAGGCATGGTGGCACCTGCCTTTAATCCCAGCACTTGGGAGGCAGAGGCAGGTGGATCTTTGTGAGTTCGAGGCCAGCCTGGTCTACATAGTGAGTTCTAGGACAGCTGGGGCTACAGGGAAACCCTGTCTCAAAAAGACAAAAAAAGAATGCTTGGTGGCATGCGCCTTTAATCCCAGCACTCGGGAGGCAGAGGCAGGCAGGTCTTTTTGAGTTCGAAGCCAGCCTAGTCTACATAGCAAGTTCCAGACCAGCTAGGGTTACAGGGAGACCCTGTCTCAAAAAGACAAAAAAAAAAAAATAAAAAAAAAAAATAAATAAAAAAAAAGAAATGCTTAAAATAACAACAAATCTAACGTTACCTTACAAGCTTTCCAACTGTTCCACTGACCTGACACAAAATCCCTACTCCACAGCCTGGTCCTCAGGGCTCTTGGGAAGCAAATTGTGTTTCCTGCCAACCCTCTTCCAGCCTCATCCATGTGTCACATTTATACCCTCCTGGATGCTTTTCTTAAGTCATGTGGAGTTGCTGGAAGCACGCAATGTGTCCCTTCCATGCAAACTGCCTTGCCCATGCTGTTACTTTCCCTTCCCTTGCCTTTGTATATTCAGACATGCATCTGGGAAATAGCCCCCAGACACTTAAATTTTGACCATTTGTATCTGGCTTTCTTCCTAGTTTCCAGAACCAGAAGAGGTCTAGTTCTAGAGTGGATTTCAGGAACTTACTGCTGAAGAATGAAAGCTAGATGAACAGGAAGGAGGAGTCCAATGCAAGCACTGGGTGGCCCAGACTCACCTTAATCTCGCTGAAGGTGCCCAGAGAGTGGTCCCATGCAGGTACCAGGTGGTGCAGGACACTGTCTAGGATCTTGATGAATCTGGGGTGATGGGTGAAGATAACAGCAGCTAAAGAGTTTGGCATGGATGTCAGACCCCAACTCTCTTAACACAATGACTAAAGGAGGTAGGGCAGGACCTTCTCTGACCCTTGAAGCAGAACAGCTTATACTTGGGGCCTCCTTCACTGAGATTCCCAAGGCTTAGGGAGGGGAAGAGAGGCCTGGGAAGAGAGGACCACAGCTACCTCTGCAGAAGGACAGCTCTGCGGTACAGTACTTCTGCGTCAGTGCCTTCTAGGCGTGGATATCGCACCAGACTGGCTGGCTGGAAGAGGTCTGCATTCAACCCTAGTTCTCGTTGTCTAGATGACTTGATCTTGACCCCTCGAAGACGAACATCAATCCCATCATCTGGGTCGAGGAGTCAGAGCGTGATTATTACTATACCTGATGCTTTCTTAAGGCCCTTAGACCTGGGAATGGCTTGGCATTTTGTCACTTAGTCACTAGAAACTTAAGATATTCGATCACATTACTGGTATTTTATACTATTCCACTTCTATAATGCTGGAATGTCTGTGGATCCCCAACTCAGATTCTCTTTCACATGAGCCCAACCACCTCGATGGCTTGAAGGCTAGCTTATTTTAGCACCTTCTACCTGATTCAGGCCCCATAGCTTCAAGCCCCTTTAGCTCAGCCATTACTTTGTCTTAATTCCAAGCTCATTCCCTTCTCTCCACACTGTTAGCTTGCCCCCATCTATACCTGGGGACTCCTTCTATTTACTTATAGTCTTAAGCCCCACCTCGACACTCCACGATGCGGATCTCAATGATTGGGAGATGGACCGTCATATCTTCCAGGACACAGACATCCCCAATTAGAGTCCTAAGGAGACAGGTGTGAAGCACTTCAGGTTCCTGCTTCCTCAGGCCTTCAGGGATTGTTGGGTCCCACTCATATTTAGGCATCCAAGGTGGGCTTGGCCCCACTAGGATCATGCCCCATTTCCCACTCCAGGCCATCTTGCTCACTCGTCAATGCTCACGTCACTCAGCTTCTTCAGGTTGTCTCCTTCGCCCCCATAGACCACTACCCGCTTAGGCATGAAGTTGTCATCTGTGGTATCCACTGTGAGCAGCAGCTTCCTGAGGGGTCAGAGTACATATCTGAGTGGGTGTTGAGGCACTTATAGGCACATGGCTCACCCACCCTGTCCTGCCCAGATCCTACTCACTTGACAATGGTGCCTTTCTTCATAGTAAGCCGGACCCAGTGTTGGCACTGGGACCCATCACTCTCCCAGTAGGTATCTGCGTTGCTATCTGTCAGGCAGGACACATTGAACTCCTCCTAAGGTAAGGACAGAGAGGTGAAATTGCTTTTGACTGGGTATGTGCTTTGGGCCAGGAAACATGAGAAAGAGCTGAGGTAAAAAGGCAACTTATATGGGATGGGTGTGGGGTAAAAGGGTGTCTAGGGCTTCCTATAGGATTTCCAAGGGGAGCTGGACTGAGTGTGACCTGTGGGGATTCTGGTTTGACACTGGTTGGGGGGGGGCATTCTGGACCTAGCTTTAAGGGATATGACTATATTTTGACAGGGGGTGGGGGAGGGGGGTATTCTCAGCACCCACCGTGTAGGAAGAAACGTCTATGCTCTCCACGTACTGCTTCACGCTACCCAGGTTCTCATCTTCTTTGCCCAGGTGGTCATACAAGAAATGGATCAGGTCCTCGTCACACTCATAGGTCCATGTTGGGGGCACATAGCTAGGCAACCCCAATTCTCTAATTAGGTTGGGTTCAAGCCCTGCTCCCTCCTCTCCCACCCCATTCCAGATCACTCACAGTAGCCTTTGTATAGCTTCAGTGTATGCCTCAGCTGGCTGAGGCCTCGATCCCAGGCGATGTGAGTAGGTCAGGTCCACCACCTGTTCCCATCTGTGGGCACAGAGTGGGATGAATGGGGAGGGGTGAGCGGGCAGCAGGACACCACTTCCAGGATGTGGAGTCTTCTCCAGAGTTGTAGCTCCAAGCCTCCCGAGGTCTCACCCCGCCCCGTTCAGGTCTCATCTCCACCTGCCCTTAACCTCCATTCCAAACTCTCAAACAACCCAGTCTTTGGGTTGTGTTTCCAAACCCTCTGCTCCGTTTTTTTTCTATGGCAGGACCTGAGCACCGGTCGATAGTCCACGCCAAAGAGCTGCTGCTGCCGCTGGAGGTGGTCCGGAGTGTCAATGGGTACGAGGCGAGCCCCGCCCTCCGCCGGGCGGCACACCAGAAGCCAGCCTTCGTCCAGGCCGCAGTCACCCAGGTGTTCTGCCAGCTGCTCCTGCAGGAACGCGCCAGATGGGGACAGCCATCAGGAGACGGCCATCAGGCCCTGCCCAGCCTAGGGCAAAGAGCACCAAAAGCAATGCTAGCTCACTGTGGGACAGGGAAGGGGACCGGCCAGGGGTTTGGCTGGATCCAGGGGTTTCTGGCAGGGTCCCGGCAAGCCCGGCGCACCTTGGTGAGCTTCACCCAGAGCCCGTGGCCGTTGCACAGCTCCTCGCCGGTGGTGCGCACGCAGGCGCCGCGCCGGAGCTCGATGCTATCGCGGGCGGCGCGCAGGGTACCCGAGCCGGTGCCGGGAGCCGCGGCACCCACACGCAGCCCTAGGCCCTCCGCCTCCCACACCGGCAGCAGCACACGCGATGGTCCCGCCGGGTCCTTGTAGAGCTTGTAGAGCACCTCTCGCGGCACGAAAGCCAGCGCGGCCGGCAGCGGCAGCCCTGCGCGGAGGTTCCGCGCTGCCTCGGCCAGGAAGCGCACGCGGCCCAGCAGCTGCCGCGGGGACTCCAGCGCCGCGCCGGGGCCAGGGCCCGCCATAGGGACGTCCTGGAGGTGAGACCCGGGGCTCTCCCGCCCGGCAGCAGCAGCCCGGTCGGCCGGCTGACCTTCCCACCACGCCCTGCCCCGCCTTCCGCCGGCCTTCGCCGCAGCTTTTGGACTAAGTGCACACTGTACTTCCGCCGTATTGTCACGTGTACGCGGACACTTAAGGAGAGGCCCTACTGTCTTCTCCCAGGCCAATCCAGTTAGACTCAAAATTAGTCTCCTGCTTTTGGTTGGGGGTCGTCCCGCTCTTAAAGCAAGATTATGGTGACAGCAAAGATGGCGAAAAAGTCTCTGAAGTCAACTTCAGGCTCCAACTTGATATGAAAAATGGAAAGCACGTGCGGGGGTACAGGCAGACTCTGAAGAGCAGACAGGGAGAGCCAAATTGGTCATCCTCGTCAGCAGCTGCCCAGTTCTAATACAATCTGAAATAGAATACACTATGCTCTGTTGGCCAAAACTGGTGTCCATCACTACAGTGGCAGTAATATTGAACTGGGCACAGTGTGCAGAAAATACTTCAGAAAATACTGCACGCTGGCTCTTATTGATCTAGGTGATTCGGGTATTATTAGAAGCATGCCAAGAACAAACTGGTGAAAAGTAAACCACGGAAGTTTTTCTTTAATAATAAACACTCGCGAGATCCGGGGCGTGGTGGTGACACACGCCTTTAATCCCAGAATTTGGGAGGCAGAGGCTAGCACATCTCTGAGATTGAGGTCAGCCTGGCCTACATAGTAAGTCTACCTGAGAACTTATCTCACAAAACACAAAACAAATCTTGAAACAAAACAACAATAAAAACTTACCAGAGCCTTTTTTTTTGGTCTTTTTGAGACAGGGTCTCCCTGTAGCCCTAGCTGTCCTGGATTCACCATGGAGACCAGGATGGCCTCGAACTCATAGAGATACGCCTGCCTCTGCCACCAGCCACCATCCTATCTACCCTGGATCACTGCAACATTCATTTTTCTGATCCTCTGGCCTCCTGTTTTTGCCTCCTGCTGCTCCCAGCGAATATTACAACCAGAGAAATCTTTAAAAAATTGTTGGACTACCTATGCTAGGGGCAGCGTGACTAAATGGTAGAATGACCCCCTTCCCCTGTCACTGACTGGAATGTCGAGTCATTCCAGATAGATGCTGTCTGTTGCTCCTAATCCTAGGACGCTAATAACCATTATCCACTTAAATGTGATTACTGATTTCTGGTTCTCCAAACGGTTGACAGAGCAGTCTGTAGCTCTTTAGAGGGACTGTCTTGCTCAGCTTTCTAACCTCTGCACTTCCTATCGATTCCAGCAATTAGTAGGTAATATATGTAGCATAAACATTACTGTTCTGTGTACATACAGCCTGTGGCAACATTCGCTGGGTGCTTGCTAGATAACATTGCTAGATTCCTGGAGAGTTGGAGTGAGAAGGGACCTTATGCCAAGCCTTCGGAGTTCCCAGACCAACAGATGAGAACAAATTCCTCGAGCCACCTTACAGTGTATTGAGAAGTTATTTCTTTGGGGCGTTTGTTATTGCGTGGCAACAGTGGACTTTACGGTGAAAGATTGCTGGGGTCCTTCGGGCAGTAGCAAGGGCAGCCCCAGAGCTGTCACTGGAATGGTCACGTGGCTTTCAACAAGGTGACGCCGCGGGTTCTCTTCAGGAAGGGGCGGAGCGTGGGTAGGGGCAGGCTCAGGTTCTTATGAAAGTGGTGACTGCCTGGAGTTACTGTTTACCATGGAGGCGAACGGGCTGGTGTGAGTATTCCGCTGCGCGCAGTGTGGCTGGCTTTTTGCTCTGAGTCCTTGAATTCAGGAATATGTCCTCGTGCTTCCGTTTTCCTGGATATCTCCCTGTACGAGAGAACTCTAGACGGCTGAGATCTCGAATTTTCTAGTCCTGGATTCCCGAGATCTCCATTCTAGGGACTGCCTTGCTAGGCCGCGTTCCCCTGACGTTCAGCGGATGACCCAGAACTTCTAACTAGCATCTGGGACTATCTGCTCTGATCCTTTCTCTCATCTTGGGGATCCCCTAGCCTCAGAACCAGCCCACTGGCAGCCCGGTTCCCCAGATTCGCTAGTCCAGTAACTCCCTCTCTCCAACTTTCGGGTTTTCATTCTACCCCCCTCAATCCCCCTAGCCGCGTCTCTCCAGTTTCTTTGACTTTGGATAAGTTAGGTGACTGTGAACGAAAGAGGCCCCAGCGGGGCCCTTCTAGAGCCTTGTGCGCCACCTGATAGAGAGGTGGAGGAGTGGGTGGGGAGCCACAGCTTGCAAGCTGGCCTGGAGGCGCCAGATATCGCTGCCTGACTGAACCCGTGCCTTCCTCAACCCCCAGTCTAGCATAATAACATTTACTTCTACCTCTACCCTTCACCCGATCGCTAGACTCCAGAGTTTTCCGGAGCTGAAGAATGACACGTTCCTGCGAGCCGCTTGGGGAGAGGAAACAGACTACACTCCCGTTTGGTGCATGAGACAGGCAGGCCGCTACTTACCAGGTCCGGGTCAAGGCCATGGTCTAGTTTAAACTTGAAACTTTAGGTGAAAAGTTCTTTAGGGGCAGATGAGAACTTTGGAAGGCCTCAAGCTTGAACGGTCCTGTCCTCCCTGTCCTGTCTGCAGAGTTTAGGGAAACCAGGGCTGCCCAGGACTTTTTCAGCACTTGCCGCTCTCCTGAGGCCTGCTGTGAACTGACTCTGCAGGTAAGGGGCCCACAAAAGAGAGAGGGATTTATGCCCTCAGTGTGCCACCTACCAACCTGTTTCCTATTCCCTACAGCCACTGAGACGCTTCCCTCTGGATGCTGCCATCATCTTCTCTGACATCCTTGTTGTACCCCAGGTACTCAATCCTGATCCTGTAATATGAGCTTTAAAAGGGAGGGGGCACTCCTTGGAAATCAGTTCTGCTAAGATTCAAGATAAATACTTACCTGGACAGAGGGAAAAACTAAGAGGTAGAGTTTGACTGAGTTTTATTCTCCTTTGTCTTTCTTTCCTGGTGATATGGCCCTTCCTCCTGCAGTTGGAGATTGTGGACCCAGATGTTTTATTCCCCCTTCAGGCACTGGGCATGGAGGTGACCATGGTACCTGGCAAAGGACCCAGCTTCTCAGAGCCATTAAGAGAAGAGCGGGACCTAGAACGTCTACGGGATCCAGAAGTAGTGGTTTCAGAGTTGGGCTATGTGTTCCAGGCCATCACCCTTACCCGACAACAGCTGGCTGGGCGTGTGCCACTGATTGGTTTTGCTGGTGCTCCGGTAATGTGACATAAGGCATGGACCGAGGCATGAGATCAGTCTTTTAGGTCTGTTGTAGACAAAGGAAGGCTTCTATGCTGTGACATCTTTGTATCCTTCTGCAGTGGACCCTGATGACATATATGGTTGAGGGTGGCAGCTCAAGCACCATGGCTCAGGCCAAGCGATGGCTCTACCAAAGGCCTCAGGCTAGTCACAAGCTGCTTCGCATTCTCACTGATGCTCTGGTCCCCTATCTAGTAGGACAAGTGGCTGCTGGTGCCCAGGTGAGTCCTTAGGGACAAACAGGCTGTGGCTTGGTCTGTAAAGACCCAAAGTCATGGTTTTGTAAATTGGAGAGGGCAGGAATCTTAGCTTGTCCTTCAGTGATCTGGTTGGAGTATCCCAGCCCTTCCTAAAACTAGCGTGTGTGTGTGTGTGTGTGTGTGTGTGTGTGTGTGTTAATGTTCTGAGTGTTTGAAGACCAAAGCTACTGTTAGGATCTGGAGGAGAAGGCAAAACTTTTTGAGGGGAACTGAGCCTCAGGCAAAAATCAAGGTTTAAAGTTACCTGAGGAGATTGTAAGGCACAATCTGTGGGTGGGGCCTGAGGTACTTCCTCCTGGTGTGAATGCTTTTTCTTATCACATAGGCATTGCAGCTCTTTGAGTCCCATGCTGGGCATCTTGGCTCAGAGCTCTTCAGCAAGTTTGCACTGCCCTACATCCATGATGTGGCCAAGCGAGTAAAGGCCGGGCTGCAGAAGGCAGGCCTGGCACCCGTGCCTATGGTGAGGATTGGGACAGGTTGAGTCTGTAAAGCCTTCAGTGTTAAGTCCTGCATGGGCTGAGGCGACCACTGGAGGGCAGCAGAAGCACAGCCAAGAAAAGGCTGGTGGTTACCCAAGGTTCTTTCTGTCAAAGATCTGCTTTTTCCCCCAGATCATTTTTGCTAAGGATGGACATTTTGCTCTAGAAGAGCTGGCCCAGGCTGGCTATGAGGTGGTTGGGCTTGACTGGACAGTGGCTCCAAAGAAAGCCCGGTGAGTGATGGGAGGGGTGGGCCCTAGAGGTTGAGGTGGTGGGTCCAATCACCAAATAGGCAGTCAATGAGAATGTGGTGTTGGCTCTGTTTCCAGGGAGCTTGTGGGGAAGACGGTGACCTTGCAGGGCAACCTGGATCCCTGTGCCTTGTATGCATCTGAGGTAACAACTGGGCCCATTATGTATGTACAAATTTTGCTCTGTTCACAGTGGTAATGTTTGTGTGGTTATATTATGCCTATTTTTTTTCACCCAATGTAAGCCCTAAGAAGGTAGGAAGTTTATTTTTTATTTTAAAAAATATTTTATTTATTATTTTATGTGTATGAGTATATTGCCTGCATGTATGTGAGTGCACCTGTGTCGTGCAATGCTGCGGAGGTGAGAAGGGGGCTTCGGATTCCCCTGGAACTGGAATTAGGGATGGTTCGTAGCTGCCATGTGGGTGCTGGGAATCAAACCTGGGTCCTCTGCAAGAGCAGTCAGTGCTCTTAACCGCTGAGCCATCTCTCCAGCCCTGGGAAGTTTATTTTTAATTTAATTTTTGTAGCTGTTCGTTTTTTTTCTTTTTTGGACTTTTTGAGGCAGGGTCTCCCTGTAGCCCCAGCTGGCATGCCTCTGCCTCCCAAGTGCTGGAATTAAAGGCTTGCACTACCATGCCAGGCATTTTTTTTTTTTTTGAGGCAGGATCTCATGTAATCCAGGTTAGCCTGAAACTCACTGTATAGCTGAGGTTGACCCTGAATGCTTCATTTTCCTGCCTCTATCGCCTGAAGTGCTTGGATTGTGGACATACCCCAGCTGCCATTTATTTTATTTTTTTAAAAAAGATGTTATGTCAGGTGTGGTGGCACCTGCTTTTAATCCTAGCACTTGGGAGGCAGAGGCAGGAGGATCTCTGTGAGTTCAAGGCCAGCCTGGTCTATATTTTGAGTTCCAGGGCAGCTGGGGCTACAGGGAGACCCTGTCTCAAAAAGACAAAAAAAAAAGATTTTATTTATTATTATTGTTTGACATGCATACTTGGGTGTGCATTCCATGGCACCTATGTGGAGATCAGAGGACAGCTTCATAGTCAGTTCTCTCCTTCCACCTTTACATGGGTTCTGGGGATCAAACTCAGGTTGTCAGGGTTGTGTAGCAAGTGCCCTACCTGCTAAGCCATATTGCTGTCGCCTTATTTGTATTTTCGTAATGCTTATGAAGCATCCGATGACTTTTGTTGAGTTAGTGACAGAATAAACACTGTGTAGAAGCACTTCTGCATATGTGTGTGTCACTGTCATGTAAAGGGAGGCTTGCTGACTTTCCCTAGGGACAGTGCCCTCTTGGTCTTCCAGGAGGAGATTGGTCGGTTGGTGCAGCAGATGCTGGATGACTTTGGGCCCCAACGCTACATTGCCAACCTAGGCCATGGGCTTTACCCTGACATGGACCCAGAACATGTAGGAGCCTTTGTGGATGCTGTGCACAAACATTCACGTCTGCTTCGACAGAATTAAGTATATGCCTTTTCGCTCAAATATCACTAATACAGATTGTTTCCAGGAGAATAAAATTTCCAGGGTTAAAGTCTAGAATGTTATTTTGGCTTGTAAAGATTTTTATGTTTACCCTTGGTTCCTTCTTAAGCCTTTGCTTCTTCTTTTATGCCTCCTCTGCATCTTCCTCCACAAGGCCTGGGGCTCAGGTGTCAGTGAATGTGTTCTACAACACTTATACCAGGCTCACACTACCATTATGCTGTCAGCTGTCCAAGTCCTAGAGTGACATGACATTGGGTAGAGTTTCCCAAGCAGTTGGGACTGTGATATTTATAGAGAAAAGGGGAGGGTCCTACAACATAGGGCTTTGTGTCTGGAGAGGAAGAAGATAGGTCATAAGGGGCACAGAAGTGGCTAAAACACTTTGGATCCAGGAGAGAAAAATGGAGTTTAGGTAAACAGGAGCAAAGGGACATGATAGAAAGACCCAGAGCTAAGATGCTATTAGAGCCTTAGGCTAGCTATTTGCCACCAAGGCAAGGTTCACTGTGCATTTTTTTCTGATGTTCTCAGAACTGTAGGATCCTGCTTCTCATGCTGACAGTGGGACAAGGTGCCTTTGAGTTTTGGAGAGGGCACTGATGTGGCAGGAACATTTTTATCTGTTAGTCATTCTACATCCCTGTCCCAGCAAGAAGAGAAGGGCCTCACTTACTAGGAGAACACAATTATTTCTGCTTTTAGAAAAGTGATCTTTTCTGTGATCCATGATTTATTCATAGAAAAGCACTGAGTTCACACATTTGCTAAAAAAGAGCAATCATGATACAGAAATGGGAGTGGCTTCCTTTTTTTTTTTTTTTTTGCCAACCCATTGGGCTGAGACATTGTAGGTCCCCTTGGCTGGACAGTACCACTTTAGTAGCCACAAGTAGCAAATACAACTTACTGGTCAGTTTGGAGTAAAAAAGGTGACAAACAGTTTTCCAAAGAGGAAAATAAAGTAAAGCAAACAGGAAGGTCCTTAGTTCACGCTCTAGCTACATCACCCCTTCCCTATCAAACCCCGCCCAACTCAGGAACTAAGACACAAAACAGTAAACACCCAAGACACTGGTCTCCATTGACTCGTATGAATGCCCTTGCTACCTCCTACAATAATTCCAGGCTAAGCATAGGGGTCATGAAGGTATCAGGAACATGATGCACTGAGTCAGCAAAGATCAAGACAGTGGTTACCAACTAGGGATAGAAATTAGCATGGAAAAGGCCAAAGGAATACCAGCTTCATCCTCCAAATTAGCAACCAAAGGGAATATGATAGAAGTGGGCAGAGGAAGTTTGAGGTAGAAAGTCAGGAAGAAAGCAAGTATGGGAAAGAAAAGAATTGTGGACCAAAAGCAGTTAGTCTTTTGGCAGAGGGACACTAGTGCTTAGAAACTTGTTTGCTGAGAGAAGGTAAAGTAGTGGAGGCACAGAGATGGGGAACAGATGTTCAGCTGGTAAGTGACTGAGGAATGGGGAAGAGAGAACTGGCCAAAAAAGAAAAGGCACACATTCATGCAGATACTCAAACATGAAGACAGTGACATACCTACATGTAGAAATAGCTCAATTACACATAGAAAGACAAAGATCTAGGGCTAGCAGCCATATGCAGACACAGTCATGTTTATACACAGATGCTCATGTGTGCCCAGATACACTAGACATAGATACACTAGACATGGAGACATGAGTGCTCTTACAGGTATGCATTATCTCACATACACCAATGAAACCATGAAAGCAAACCCACAGTCTAACACATGTACCCCATAATGTACACAGACATAGAACTAACAAAAAGACATGCACATGTGTATCTGTACACAGACACATGTTTTTAGCCAAACAGATGTACACACACACACACACACACACACACACACACACACACACACACACACAAATGTATACACACACACACACACACACACACACACACACACACACACACACACATATATACAGAATTGGAGATGAAACCAGATTCTCTCTAACATAAAGGTGACCAGAGAGGATGCATATTATGAGCTCAGTGGCTTTCTAGACCTTCATCTTCTCCCTGTACTCGTTATTTAGATGTTTATCAGGCTCCTGGAGGGTGTGAGCCAGGGGCAGGAGCTTCAGAGTCCTCATAGCTTTGTGAGGCAAAAGTAATAAGCCCAGTCTTGACTTCTGCCCCTTACTGACAACTAGGCTAGATGCCCTATCTGCAGGCTGGGGTTTCTGCACAGGTAAGACTCAGGATTTATTTTAACTGTCCATTTTTTTTCCCTGATGCCCCCCACTCATCCACTGCCAACAGCATACACTCTGCATGGGAAACCTGAGAAATGGTTTTGAGTCTCCTCTGAAAACAAGCCTATCCTCCCACCCACAGCTACTTTAAGTGCCCATCAAATTAGAATCAGAATTATAAATAGTTAACAGCTTTACAATAATTGGCAACACATATACTATAGTATTTACAGTACCATAAATGCTTCTGTTTCTCTGGTTAAGCAATCCCTGAGACGGAACAGTGTTCTGTGTTTGCCAAAGGAGAAGGGCCAATGGCCAGGACACGCAGGATATAGGGGCGTGAGGTGGCATGTTGTGGGGGCTTCTGATCGATCTGCAGGGCCCAGCTCCTCCAGGAACAGTGGGCTGTAGTTAGAAGCTTGCCAAGGCAGGCATACTGACTAGAGTTGGGTTCTCCCCATCCTTAGGCCTGTGGCACTTTGGCTGCAGCCATAGGTGCTCAAGAGTCCTCTCAGGGTAGACAAATGTTTCTGAATCCTTGGCCTTACGTGATGGTACCTGGGAGCCCAGGCTGCCTGGCAACAAACTATCCACTTTCTCAGCCAAAGCGCTCCCGAACCAGCAGCATCAGCTTCTTCTTGCCTTTGTAAATCTGTTTGAGGTTGTCAATGAATTGGGCAAACTGCAAATGACCATCTTGGGGTAGCAGGAAGGTCTCCCGAGCCTTGCTCAGAAACTCGATGAACTCTCCATAGTGGCGGGGACTTATGTGTGTCAGACGCGAGTGTGTCGTGTTGATATAGGCATTGATGGTGGCATCCAGTAGCTGGCGCAGTGGAGCTTTGTCAGTGGACATGAGCTTTCCAGAGCTCCGGCGGCCTGGGATACCGGCCAGGCCAGGTGCAGTCACAGTGCACCTCCGCAGGATGTCTGATAGCACTGTAGCACAGTGTACACTTTTCACCACCAGGGGAATGAGAGCTGCCAGTTCATTCTTGCCCAGAGAGTGACTGAGGGCACAAGCCCAGAGTACATCATTGATGGCTGGGTGGGTGTCCTGGTTGTAGGCCAGGTTAAGATGGCTCATGGCCAGTGAGGCCAGCTTGAAGGCACGTAGCGGGTAGCCACGGAGCTCCATGTAGCGGGCAATGGTGAAGAGCTGTGAATGAGTCATGCCACCAGCAGCAGCATCAATGGCAATCTGGTAGGCTGCCTCAAAAGCAATGTGGTCTTTCTCACAGAGTGTAAGGGCTGACAAGGCACAGCTCTGTGGATCTTTCATAGCACATTGTAGGGCCAGTGTGCGAGCACAGCTAGCCAGTTCCTCCCGCTGTGGGTAGTCCAGACTGAGGCGCAGGATAGTGGTGTGGGATACAGCTGTAGCAGCTACAATACTAGTAGCCTCGGTGGGGGTGAAGAGTGTGTACCAGCTCTGCAAGATGCTCACCAGGGCCCGCACACCTGTCAGAGAAAGCCTGAGCTCAGCAGTGGCCACTTGGATCCCCATCCAGGTTTGCCCTGATTATCATCTGGGGCCTGAACTTCACCTGCAGAGAGTTCTCCCTCTTCAGCAACCTTGAGATGATCTGAGGCAAACCAGGGCAAAGGGAGCATCCCAGACTCTGGGGCCTCTTCCCATCCCTTCCTTTCCCAAGCCAGAGAGGAAGTTTCTATAATACTCTCAGCCCCTCATAGGGAAGCAAAAAACCCCCATGGTTTTCCTGCCTCAGAGCAAGGGTCATAGGCTTCCTTGGGAGGTTCTAGCTGAAGTGGGGCCTCTGAGGATAATATTGTGCTCTGGCTTTGGGTTCTAGAAGGGGTCCCAAGCCTCCAAGTTGTCTGGTGTTTCTCAGAAGCATGGACAGAGACCAGGAACAAGCCACTGGACCCACTACCTCCCCAAGGAGCACATGAGTATTGGTGGTAGAAAATTTATCCTCTCAGATATGCCTCTAATCACAGAGGGTCAAAGTGCTGCTAACATGAGGTTATGGTCCAAGCAATGAGGGCTTAGGCTGGCTGCACAGAGACTACTTTCTCCTACTAGCAGCCCATCCTTTCATAGGCCATCAAGAATACTAATATGATGCTGGGTGTGGTGACACATACCTTTAATCCCAGCACTTGGAAGGCAGAGTCACATGGATCTCTGTGAGTTAGAGGCCAGCCTGGTCTACATAGAGTTCCAGGCCAGGTGGGGCTACAGGGAGACCCTGTCTCAAAAAGATCAAAAAAAGAAAACGTACAAAAGGAATATGACAGCTCTAAGGATTCACTGTCTTGTCCCAACAGTTGGGCCTACAAATTCCCCTGGGGGTAGAGGGAGGTGGGAGACTCACCCACTTCTGTAGCACAAGTCACCAACCATCGCACCATTTCTCGGCGCCTCCAGTTAAGGGTTGATAAAGTCATCCGCATCACCTGGACACACACAAAACAAACGAAAAACCATTTCCAGTTGTGACCTCCTTCTTTCTCTTCCTTCCTCTCCCTCCTTCTTCAATATTCATTTGTGTAACAAGTATTTTTAAAATATTTATTATTTTAATTTTATGTGTATGCGTGTCTTGCCTGCATGTAGGTAAGTGCACCCGTGTCATGCAATGCCCTCAGAGGAGAGAAGAGGCTGTCGGATCCCCTGGAACTGGAGTTACGGACAATTGTTAGCTGCCATGTGGGTGCTGGGATTCAAACCCAGGTCTTCTGCAAGAGCAGTCAGTGCTCTTAACCATTGAGCCACCTCTCCAGCCCCATAACAAGTATTTTTTATGATATGGGTCACATGTGGCCTAGATGGCTTTGAACTATATATGACCTTGAACTTCTGATCCTTCTGCCTCCACCTCCTCAGTGCTTGCATCAGAGGTACCATATTTAGTTTGTGCAGTGTTAGGGGTTGGACCTAGGGCCTTGTGCAATATAAGCAAACACTCTACCAACCGAGCTACATCCCCTGAACAGTTCAACAAAAAACATTTTTTAGTGATTTAAACAGAGGTATTTCTTCTGTAAGTACAGGTATGTTTAATTTTTGCCCATCCCTCTTACTAGATATGAGGCTTCTCTAATGACAATAAAACTAAAAAAATAAAATTTATTTTATTTTTATGTGTTTGAGTGTTTTGCCTGCATGTATGTAAGTGCACCTGTGTATACAAGGCCTGTAGAGGACAGAAGTAGGTGTCAGATCCCTGGAAATGGAGTTCCAGACAGTTACTAGCTACCATGTGGGTGCTAGGAACCAAACCTAGGTCCTCTGCAAAAGCAGTAAGTGCTCTTAACTGCTGAACCATCTCTCCAGCTCCCCAAATAAAACTATTATATACCTAGATTGCCTTGGAGGCATGGGGAGGTAGATAGAAGATGGGGGCCCTACAGTGCCTATAGCTATTTTGAGTCTAGCCTTAACTTTAAAATGGAAACCAATTTATTGAGCCCTTACCTTCTGTCTAGCCTAGAACTTATGTTCTGGGAGACACAAAGGGCTTGGCTAATGTTAAGTCCCCTTGGAATATCTTCTGCCAGTTGTCACTAGGCCAGAAACTTAAAAGTTAGGACAACAGTCTCCTACCCCATACCTGTAACCCCAGCTCCAGGGCCACATTGAGCAGGGTGCTGTCTGTAGTGTTGTCTGTAGGAGTAGCAATCTTGAATGCATCTTGAGCCAGTTTGAAGATGAGGGAGGAAGAATGGATATGCTTCTGTATTGCTTCCAGAATAGTTCGCAGCCTCAGAGTATCCCCTATAATTATTAAGAAAGGCAGGGAAGGGGTTTGTTTTAAAGTTTCCCTAGATAGTCAGCTGATCACAACAGATATGAGTTGAACTAGTTGAACTATTCATCAAATGTTTCTGAATGCTATCATCTGTCTGGTTGGTCAAGCTGTAACTCCTAAACCCATTGGTGGCTCTTTGTATGAATGACTTTATTGTCTCACACTTACAAAGTGTGCCCATGTCATGCAATGCCCACAGAGGTCAGAAGTGGGCATCAAATCCCCTGGAACTGGAGTTATGGATGGTTGTTAGCCACCATGTGGGTGCTGGGAACCAAACCTGGGCCTTCTGGAAGAACAGTCAGTGCTCTTAACTGCCGAGCCATCTCTCTAGCCCCAAAACTTTTGTTTTAGAGAAGTTTTATATTTACAACAAATTCAGTAGTGAGTATAGAGTTCCCATCTACATCTATTAGCTATATATATGTATCTGTTATTATTAATTAAAGTTATAAAACAGTATACTTTTTTGGTCTTTTTGAGACAGGCTCTCTCTGTTGCCACAGCTGGCCTGGATTCACTATGGAGACCAGGCTAGCCTTAAACTAACAGAGATCTATCTGCTGGGATTAAAGGCGTGTACCACCATGCCCAGCTAGTGTGGTATATTTGATGAATCAATATTGAAATATTAATTGAAGTCCATGCTTTATATTACATAATGTACTCTGTGTTATAGTTATAGGGTTTTGGCAAATTCATGTCATGGGTCCACCAGTATCACACAGACTAGTTTTATTGCCCTAAAAATCTCCTGTGTTCCACCTTTTCAAAACTTTCCCTATCCCCCTGGACCCTGGCAACTATAATGTCTCCATAGTTTTACCATTTCCATAATGTCATACAGTTGGAATCACAGCATGTAGCTTTTTAAACTGGCTTCTTTCAATATGCAATACACAACTGAGGTTCCTCTTTTTTTTTTGCATTTTGTTTTATTGCTAAATTACATTCCATTGTGTGGATGTATCACAACTTGTTTATCTTTTCACCTTTTTGAAGAAGATTTTGATTGCTTTGGAGGCAGTTATGAATAGCTATATAAACGTTTGTGTCCCAAGGGGCACTTATTCCTCTGAGGGGCGGGGCCTGCTAAAGAGACTACAGAGAGGGATCTGTGGAGAGTTAGCTGTGGAGGGAGGAGTGTTGGTGCCATCTTGGAAGTGAGCAACGTGGGGGTGAGGGGGTGGGGGGTGGCCCTGGTGTCTCGCCTGTGTGGACATGAGAGGGGGCATTTTACCGACCTGGGGCGAGACTGCGGGCCTTTTTTTTTGCAATAAAGCAAGGCATGGGAGAAAGCTAATAGAGACTAGGTGGGGCGTGGAAGCGATCTGGAACCTCAGGCTGCTGAGCCACAGAATGGAACAGGGTGCTGGGTGTGGGGCACCAGGTGTTCGCCTTTGTAAGTTATTCTATTTCCCCTACCCAGGAAATAAACTATGAAAAATTCAGATAAAGATGTGTTATATGGTTTGTCTAATAACGCCAGGAGCAAGGGACCCTAAGAGAACTCAGGTGACAAATTGGCGCAAACGGCAGGATGGTGCTGGAAAAGACACCTCAGGAGTTTGGGAAAAGCAAGGGAGCTAATGGTGACACTAATATGGATCTTACAATGGATTATAAAATATGTAACTAAAAAGGAGCCAGCCACACAGAAGTATGGGCCACACCTGTGTTGGAAATGTGGCGAAATAGCTCAGTTGCAGGGGTATATGAAAATTTGTTAATGGTTACAGAAAGGCTAGAAAATCTTTTACAGGCCTGGGATACAAGCAGAGAACCCAGAGAGGGGGCGTGGCCACTTTGCATAATAAAAGATTTGCCTAAAGCAGGGGAAGCTGAAAAGGCCAGGGAGGTCCTGGCAGATCCAGTTAGAGAACTTGAGAGAGAATAAAAGGGACATTTAACTTGTATAAGGTCCAAGGACTCTGGTAAAAAGACAGATAATGAAAAAGGAAATGACCTAAAAATTAAAATGGCTAAGGCTGCCCCTCAGATTCAACCTTTGATATAAAAAGGAAAGGAAGCTAGCAGTACTGTAGCTAGGAAATACTCCACTCTGGAGCTGTTAAAACTAGGAAAAACTTACAAGCAAGCAATCAAAGAGCCTCCCACAACATGGAAGGTGAGGATATGGGACATGGGAGCAAATAACATCAGTCTAAGTCCTTCAGAAGTTTCACAGCTGAGCTATATAACCACCCATCTGTCCTTGTGATAGAGGCTGTTCGGCCTAGGCCAATGCAGGGGGGAACAGTCCTTAATGGGATGGCTGGTTGAAGGCATTAAAGATACATGGTCATCACCAAAGGAAACTTCCATAATTAACAGAGGCTGGAGGACTATAAAGGATGTACAGGCATTATTGAGAGAACTAGATATGAAAAAAGCAATATATGATACCCAGTTCACTGGGCCAGATAAGACTGTGTTCACCAGAGATATAAAGGAAAGCTTAATTCAACTGGGACCTCGAGAATGGAGCTTTAATGGTTTTGCTAAGCCCTTTACTAGGACAGGATCTTTGTAAAGTGAGAGAGGCTTTAACAGATCTAAATGACTCTGACCAACATGTAAAACGTGTCTGTAGAATAACAGAACACCCTATAAGAGATATAAAAAAGACCAGGCAGAGCCGGGCGTGGTGGTGCATGCCTTTAATCCCAGCACTTGGGAGGCAGAGGCAGGGGGATCTCTGTGAGTTCAAGGCCAGCCTGGTCTACATTGTGAATTCCAGGACAGCTGGGGCTACAGGGAGACCCTGTCTTAAATAGACCAAAAAAAAAAAAGACCAGGCAGAAGAAATGGTCCATTTGGGTTACTCGAAGACAAGTATGACAAGACTTATGTCGAGCCCAAATTCCCGAAGAAATTGATAGAAAACCAAATTCAGTATTAGGGAGTTTCTAGAAGGCTTTAAAACCAGAACAACAGCTTACAAAAGGCATTCAAAGGATAAAAACTGTCCTAGGAGTGGTTAAGAATCCCCAAAGAATTAAATCCCCAAAGATTAAATAAAGTGCATCTCTCTCCTGATAAAGACTATGCTAGGGATGGAGGCAGTTTTTCCCACCAAGGCTTCCCCCAGCAGCCAGGTATGGTCAATGGAGAGATGACAGATATTGCTACAGACAGGAGGCAGACCCAGGGCCTGCCAGACTCAGGGAACCAACAGGTGCAACAGGTACAAGAGAAACCCTCTGCCTCCTTAAGCCTTGTGCACAGTCAGGCAATTGGAGCCAACACCTGTAAGTGTATCAAAGGTAAAAGAATACAAAAAGATTCCATGCAAGATCCCCAGAATGTGGAATGACTCCCAAGGGATAACTAAAGGTAGTAAAGAACTAACCAAATTAATGCCTCTTACCCATGCTATGGTATCTAACAAAGATCTATGGAAAAAAATAATACGAATGGATAAAACCTTTCCATGCTATGTTAGACCTTGTCTATGATTTAATATATGATGTTAACCTTCCTTAGAGTGTTTTACAGATGTTAAACCCATTTGAAAGATACCTGAAGAAACAAAGGCCAGCTATCGCTGTATTCTTGGGAGTTTTATAGTTGGGTAAGATAAAAACAGAGGCTCCCAAATTATACAATTGTTAAAAAAAACTACAGTACCAGGGGTGGGTTGCCCCCCTATGAACTGTTGGTCAGAGAGAGATCCTAGAGGTCTTCAAATTCACCAAGGCTATTGCCACTAATGTTCGTTGTATACTAGAAAGGTCGGTAAGGCCATATTGCTGAAGACACTGCATGATGTGAGCACGGGACGAAAAGAAAAGATGGAGCTGAGACTAAGCCAAAAACTCCATGCCACTGGATGGATGATGTTTATAGTACCAGAAGTTGCTATGCAGATGGTTGGGGAAGAAAGGCTTCCCTATGATTCTACTCAACAATGGACCCCATGTGTTGCACACTATGGACATGTCAAGCAATGCCTGTAAATGCAATAATGGCTTGACTAACATATGTACAACTGATAAATTTCTAGTTGGATAAGGCCCACTCCTAGGGGTGGAACGCATATCTGATGCTGTAGACCAGGCTCCCCTCCCTGCCCCCCTGCCTCCGTGTGAGAAAGGCTACAGGGCCTAGCAGGGAAGCCATTACAAGCATACTGTTTAATGAATATAGTATACCTACTGGGATATCCTCTAGGCATTTTTATTTACATTCATGTTTGTTTAGATGTGTCTACTTCCTTCCATTTGTCTTTAGTAGAAGAAACACCACTGAGAGAGATCAATGGCTATGACTTGAAGACGAATAATGGGGATTTTCTTGGGCCTCCCCATTATTCCCCACTATCTTGCCATGATACAAGAGAGATCACCCTACATCTGTCACCCCCTCCAAAGCTCAGGGACCTTAGCGGAAGATTGGCAGAGATTGTAAGAGCTGGAGGAAGGGATGGAGTGTGTCCTGAGGGGTACTTATTCCTCTGAGGAGTAGGGCCTGCTGTGGAGAATTGGCTGTGGAGAGCTAGCAACAGAGGGAGGAGCATTGGCGCCATCTTGGAAAGAAGCAGCATGGGAAAAAATGACATGCAAGAGGAGGCATTTACCGGGACCTGGGGCAAGACTGTGGGCCATGAGGTGTGGGTGAAAGCTAACGGTATTTAGTGACCTAGGATGAGACTATGGGCCCAAGAGGCATGGGCGAAAGTTAATGGAGACTATGGGTGGGGTGTGGAAGCCATCTGGAATGATGGGCCGCTGAGCCACAGAATGGAACAGGGTGCTGGGTATGGGGCACCAGGTGTTTGCCTTTGTAAGTTACTCTATTTCCCCTACCCAGGATATAAACTACGAAAAATTCAGATAAAAGATGTGTTATATGGTTTGTCTAACAATGCCAGGAGCAAGGGACCCTAAGAGAACTCAGGTGACAATGTTTATGTACAGGTTTTGGTATGGACATGGTTTTGACTCATTTGACCAACACCTAGGAATATGACTATTGGTGCATACGTTAAGACTGCGTTTAGCTTTGTTACAAAACCAAGTGAAACTCTGCCAAACTGTCTTCCAAAGGGGCTGTGGATTTTCCATTCCTACCAGCAGTAAGAGGTTTTGTTATTACCTTTTGGCCTGGAGCAATTCTAACAGTGCATAGTAGTATCTCATTGCTTAATTTTCAATTCCCTAGTGATGTATGATCCTCAATATCATTTCATATGCTTCTTTGCTATTTGAAGAGAC